CTGCTGAATCTAAAGGGCTCTTTACGTCGTGTATATATATGTAAAAGGAGGGATTCACTTATTTCCAAGAATAAATTTATCTAGATTTACTCCACTCAATAACTCATGTTTTATTTCAAATTTTAATGATTTAACTTTTGAATTAAAAATTCTTAATTTATAATCTACAAATTTTTAAGAAATTTGAAAATTATTTGATACTCCATTGTATAAATTTAAATCAACGTATTAAATATTTTTATAATTATCCATCAATTTGAATTAATGAAATGGAGTATCAAAAAGTTTTCAAATTTTTTAAAATTTTGTAGATTTGATTTATGTATTGAGAATTTTTAATTTCACAGTTAGATCGTTAAAATATTATGTAAAACATGAGTTATTGAATGAAGTAAATCTAAGTAGACTTATTCTTGGAGTAAGTGGGTCCCTTTTCTCTCTCTATATATATATATATATATTTTGTACTACTCAGTGCATATTGAAATATGGACTATCGCGACTAAGTTAGCTTCATTGACATTGTGTAACTGTAGAGGGTAGATTTTTAGGGTCCAAGTAATAATCAAAGCCTTAGTCTAAAGTTTCTAAATTTTTCAAATTGATTTTATCTGAATGTCTACGAAATGCTGAACAAAGCATGCAATTTGCTCAATTATAGAATACCTTGATCAATGTCCATAGCGTATATTATCCTGCTTTACATTAGGATTTGTGAAAAAACTTGAAGTTGGGTGGATTTTTTATAATCAGCCTATGCTTAAATTTTTCCTAGAATCACTTGGTAGTTGGAATTTAATGAAGGAATATTTAAAATTTCTTTTGCAAAACCTAAAACATGTAATATTTCCCTCAGGTAGCTGAATTCCTCGGCTTCAGCTCATGTATCCAGTCATGTTTGGAGTACTTGGAAGCAGTCCCTTGGGTTGGAGAAGAAGAGGAAGAAAAGGTGGTCTCAACTGTACTGCAACTCCAAGCTGAAGGAATTGGGGTCAATCCTGTGCTGAAAAGAGTGTCATCTGACATTTCTAATGTCCCAAAAGACACTCTT